CTGGATCATGAAGACGTCAACATCTGGAGGGAAACATGGGATACAGTGGACAGGCAGGATGCAGCTTGACGATTTAGACTTCGCGGATGATCTGGCTCTTTTATCACAAACGCAACAACAAATGCAGGAGATGACGACCAGTGTAACAGCAGCCTCAGCAGCAGTAGGTCTCAATATAAACAAAGAGAAAAGCAAGACTCTCCGATACAATACAATATGCACCAAACAAATTGCACTTGACGGAGAAGCTTTGGAAGATGTGGAAACCTTTACATATCTGGGCAGCATCATTGATGAACACGGTGGATCAGATGCAGATGTGAGGGCGCGGATCGGCAAAGCAAGAGCAGCATACCTACAGTTGAAAAACATCTGGAGCTCAAAACAATTGTCAACCAACACCAAGGTTAGAATTTTCAATACAAATGTCAAGACAGTTCTTCTGTATGGGGCAGAGACGTGGAGAACTACGAAAGCCGTTATCCAGAAGATACAAGTGTTCATCAACAGCTGTCTACGCAAAATACTTCGGATCCGATGGCCAGACACTATCAGCAATAAGTTACTGTGGGAGACAACAAACCAGATTCCAGCGGAGGAAGAAATCAGGAGAAAGCGCTGGAAGTGGATTGGGCACACCTTGAGGAAATCACCTGATTGCGTCACAAGACAAGTTATTTATAAAATAATTCTGTGTTATTCATTTATGCAGACTGATATATGGTGCGTGTCCCGCAACGTATCTATCGCCATTATCATCAAATACCATTAGCCTACTTCCAAACAACTCGATTCTTTTCACTTCCTTCTACTTATTATTCCTACACTTCCGTCTCTTATCACGTTTCACATTGCGACCGACTGTTTATGGGGTATGATACCAGAGCTGCTCGTTCTAGAGACCCCAATGCCCCAAGACGAATGGGTGTTCTCGCCATTCCTATTGTCGACCACTCACATCGGTGCACTAATAGCGGGGTATGCATCATTTCCGGCATCACCTAAAGCCGATATGGATGCTGCTTTTATTTCTGTGTTTTGTATCTTTTAGCTTGCAGTTTCGTTGTTTAACGTGATCTGGCTTCGTTTCTGCTCACTTCATTTATATTGCCAATGTCATTACATACGAGCTGGACTAGTATGTCATTACATACTCATGGCGTACCATCATGCGGATCAATGTGAATTGGTAGTCATAAATTTTCATGTTTCTGGTATAAAGGAGTATATTCATTATGACGAATGTCGGATTTTTGTATCATCATGTTATGCAAATGTTGTGATTGTTAGCGATTCCAACATCAAACTGTGCTGCTTCGTGTTCCAGTGTTTTACTGTTCACTTCTCACAACTAAGTAAACAATGTAAATCCATTTCAGTTTGGAAAGGAAGGGAGGTTAAGTGGACTGCGTCAGTTCCAGTAATGGCGGGCTCACGATTGATCCAATTTATTTCGAAATCTTCGAGAGATCGAGCTTTAATCACATGCTGAGTTGATGAATTCCGTTCGCTGGTGATTCAATGATTGATAATCAGCCGACCATTAACTTGTTCTGGGCCTGTGAAAATTTTTGGAGTGTTATCGTGAATTTTCTGCCAAATTAAAACCACTCAGATGATTCCCACAGGTCATTTTGAAGCTCTGAACAGTCACTCTTACTTCTTATCGTTCTCCATATCTAGGTATCGTCAGTATACAACAAAACCGATTGTGATAGGAGATTCGCAAAGTCATTCGCATGCACGAAGAGCATTACTGACCCCCAAACTGTACCTTGAGACACTTCTCAAAGCAATTTCAAACCAAAGAAATTGGGGTTCACCCATAATCTTTGTTGGCGCCCAAACAGAAAATCTCTTATTCACATTAATAAATTGCCTCCAACTCTGATATTACTTAGTGTGCATGTGGTAGCCGGTTGTGAAGAACTTTATCAAAAGCATTGCTGAAGTCTATGTAGGCTACATCAATTGGTAAAATTTGATTTTTTAAACACCAACTTTCATGGGATACCAATAATTTCAAATCCATGCTGCTTTTCAGGAAGAATCCAGTTTTTGTCTATATAATTAGACAACAACTTCCTGATATTTTCTTAAATCTGAACAACTACGCCGGTTAGACTTGAGAGTCGATAGTTCTCAGATTTATGTTTCACACCTGTTTCCAAGACAGGACTTACTACAGCATTCTTACAGTCTTTCGGTAATTGACCCTCTGTCACAGATGGGTTAAAGAATATGCTTGAGTGATTCGCGACGAAATTCTCTAGTCCCTTTAGTAACATAAGATGCATTTCATCAAATTCCATGGGTTTGCCTGTATAGAGCTCACTTCGCATACCAAAGACATAGGGTTCTCTGACGGTTACAGCATCCAGTGTGTGTGCGTGGAGGCTCGTATAAAGTTAAGGGAAATGTGTGTCTCTACGGTGTATACATAGCAAAAGTAGTTTGGTAATACCTGAGCTTTAGCATAATCGTCCTCCTCTAATGGTAAACTAATACTGTCGTTCCATTGTGCTGGAATGTTTCCCCTTCTCTTAGTCCTTTGGTTAATGTACGAATATAAGCGTTATGAACAGTCTACAGATTCTTTAACAAGTCTTTCTTCATACAAGGTCAGGCACACATCTTTCGAGCTCCCTCATAATGGGATTTTTTTCTCATCAGTACCCAATAACCTTAATCCCTCCAGTATTCTTCTCCTTTGATGAAGAAGGGTGCAAACCTCTTAACTGAGCGACAGGTGGCACTTTCTCGGAACCCTTAGTTTAGTTTAAGTGATGTGGAGCGCAGTGACGTTGATGTACAAATTTCTGAATACATCTCAAGCCGTTTCAACCGGGGACTCAAACCCTATTGTTCATTCTACTGAAGACACTAGGTGTCCAGTTTGTTAAATATTTGTTTCCCAGACATTTGATCTGACTTGCGCTGACATATGCTGATTATTAACTACTATATGGAAAACAAAAGCTTGAACTACATGGTCACTTTTACCTAAGGGTAACATGCAATCAAAGTTCGTGATGTATTCCTCATAATGAGTCAGTGTGGGATCCGAAAGAGATGATTTGGAGTCCAGGTTGTATTTAGTTGCTACTTTCAGAAGTTGTACTATGGCAGATGTGATAACCGTATCAACTAGTTTCGGTTAGAAGGAATTTTCTAACGATTTCGCACTCAAACTTCTAAAGTCTTACATAGGTGAACTAAAATCTCCTAAGATTAAACATCAACCAATTGATGACCAAGTGTTGAGACTGTCTAGCAAGACATCATTCACCCCGCAGTTTGAATTGCAGGTTAGGTTAGGACATGGAGCTGTAAGTTAATCCCCAAAATCAATAGCTCTGTAAGTGTTCGACATTGGACGCTGACCACATTAGTTTTAGTGTACTCATTTAGCTGAAGGCGCTCGGTCATGCATCCACACAAGATCACGTCTCCTGCGACCACCAGCCAGATCAGATCAGCCACTCCTCGATATATTGATAATCTGTCAAGTATATCTTCCAACCTCCTCGCTTCTGACTTTTGATTTCACTGGATGGGCGCGAGTCAATTACAGAAGGTGTTACAGGTGTCAAACTACAATACTTGTGGTATCTTCACTACAGACCGCTATGTTGAACTTATCCGGTCTATCACCAACTGATTCATTATAGCACAAGCTAGCTTCAGGAATGTAGTGCAACATAACCGATCTTCCACAACAAGTCTTATCTGACTTATTGCTTTTTGCTGATAATGTGAAACTTTGGAGAGAGAGAGATACGCAACCAAGAGGAAATACTAGAGGAGGAGGAGGAGGATCTGACACGACTTCAAAGTTGGGCTGACGACAACGGACTGATTTTCAACACTGAAATTGTAAAGTAGTCCGTCTGAGACATGCTGCAGACTACAGTTACAACTGAGGAAACTCCTCTTTAGAAGTATCCCAGGTCGCAAAAGATTTAAGAGTGTTGGTACCCTAGGACTTGAAGTCGTACGCTAATTGTGACAAAAGCGCAAGCAAGCCTTGCACTGGTAACATTGAAGCCCACTTTTGGCCAGTTTGATGGTAGAGCTTTCCACGTAATCTTCAACAGTTTTATTCTTTCCCATTTAGAATACGGAAACATAGTATTTCCTCCCTCTCACCAAAAGGATAAGGACACTCTGGAGCGTATCTAACGAGGAGCTACAAAATCAGTTCGGGGACTCAAATTCAAACCTTATGAAGAGCACCTTCAATCACTTAACTTTTACTCGTTAGAGTACAGTCATCTCAGAGGTGACCTTCTTATGGCTTATACTTCTGGTCACCCCCCTTAAACTTCAACTCAAGCTTAGCCACAATACTAACCTGAGAAGTAACACAAAGAAACCGGAGACTCAACATAGCAGAACGGATTGCAGACAAAAGTTTTACTCCTCAAGAGTTGTTAAACGCTGGAATTCGCTGCCGACTGAGCTAGTCCAAGCGACATCCCAGAAGTCATTTAAGAGGAAACTTGACCTATTCTTAAGGACTAAGGATAACATCATACTATGATTTACCAATTTCTTTTTTTCCCTATTATCGTTGATATACCTAGGTTCCTGCCTGTAGGTTATGGTAATCCACTGCTACTAGACACGGAAGCGAAAGCTTCTACTATTCCGTCCACAAACATTTGAACCATTTGAATCTGACATTAAAAACAAGCATATAATGCAACTTCATGGGTTAAATTAACAACCGTATGAAATGTCTTATCTAAACACGAGATGGACAGAAAGATGCACGATGTGACTAACCATGTTCATACATGCTATATACCCCATCACCAAACGCTTTCACACTTCAAGATGCACTGACCAACAAATAATTACCAAACACACTAGAACCAGTACAGTTCATTGGATAAAGCATCCTACTTTAACCCCACTCAAGACCTGTAACTGTACCGCAAGTACAGAAGACTCAATTAGTTTACATTAGCTCGAAACAAATATATTGGATATTGCTTATTGAATACTTTAAGGACTGTATGCTGATTCGAAAATATGGTGTTCTCGCGTTTTCCATTGTTTTGTGGTTTTTAATTTTTTTCCTCTTTACTGCTATTGCGTAACACTTCGTCAATTTCACTCATAAGTTATCTAAATTAAAAACTTCTGATTTTGGTTGACTCTTGTCGAGGTATCCACCTTATGAAATTATGTCGAATTAGTCACATATACACCATATGCATATGGTGTATATGTGGCTAATTCGGCATGCTCTCATTTCCGATTTTCAGTTCGTATTGATCTTACCTCTATGTTGTTTCTAATCTCTGTCGATCGCCACCATTTTTAGATGTAAATCGAGTCTATAGACAAATACATGTATTTGTCTCAGTAAATACACTGTATTTACTGAGTCGGCTCACTTTTTACTTTTGTTCCTTTCTCTACCACATTTTACCATACGCTCCCTCAATACAAAGCTTAAATTCAGACTAGACGTTAAACACGACACGTTTTAGGTATTCAGGTAATTTATGTAAATTCCCTTAGTAGTACTTCTAAAGCATTACTGTAGTATAGCTATAACTATCTGATCGGATAGAATATTACATATATTCGCATCGTTGTACGCTTGGTTTCTCACTAATTGTTGACATATAGTCGTGCAAGTATACTGTTTGTGCTTCTGTGCTATTGTCTGTTGCACCAGTGTATAATCCAAGTAGCAGCTCAATAGGAAATCATAGAGAAAAATACCTTTCTTTGTTTCAAATATTGTTCACATTTTTCTCTGAATATGATAGCGTTGTCGAAAAAACATTCTACCTTACCACCATGTCAAGATTTTAGTCTAATTTTCACATTATATATATATATATATATATATATATATATATATATATAATGTAACTATGGATTATGATACTACTTAACCTGTATAAGGTGATTAACTTATGTAGTCTCAATAAACATGCACAAAACCAAATTCACAAACTTGGTATTTGGATTACATGGGCTAAACACACGTTCTACTAACTGAAAACCCTAATTCTTGTTGATAATAAGGCAGAGAATTAACTCATAGGTCAATGTTAACAGCAAAAATTTGGAGATCGTTGAAAAGATTGTGTGAATGTGGTATTCGTTTAAAGTGAAAATTATTAGTCGTCTGCTGTTTGATAATGCATGCGTGGTTATTTTTGTTAAGTGGGTCACTCATCTTTTCTGTTTTAGATCTCGTAGGAAATTCGTTCGTTTAGAAATGGTGGCTTTATAAAATTTCAAATTATGTCAGGTTTGATTTTCAAGCTCAGATTTCGATTGCGTGTGGTGATCCCTAATTTACATCTAATCTTGATCAAATCATTTATGTGATTCATACATGAAGGAGGATAAGTTATTTTGCATTTGTGGACTAATCGTTGGGATCATATTGCTATTTTATATATTGTCGCCGTATAGTCCGACATGTTTACTTAGAAGCTGTATCCACAAACGGTATGACCGTACAGGCTTTCTGTATTCTGTTCAAACTACAAAAAGAAATAATTATTTAATGAGATATACGAGAGATAATTCTAGTAGTGTGTCTGTGCTCGTCTTCATCCATATTCAGAAAACTGCCGGTACACTTTTAGAACGTCGTTTGGTTAAAGATGGTCTGGTGGGCAAAACATGTTACTGTTTTTTCAGAAGACGCTGTAGTTGTAAAACGCCAAATGGTAATACTTGGCTTGTCAGCAGGTATTCTACAGGCTGGATATGTGGACTCCATGCTGACTTGACTGAATTAACGGAATGTATTGACAACAAACTGAACAAAGTTGACCACCATATTATAAAAAGAAAGTAAGAGTTGTGCCGATTTTAGTCTTGTTTTATATTATTGTTACCGATTGTTCAATATTTTCTGTTATGTTCTATAATAACTTGAGAAGTATAGTTTCTAAAGTATTTTAAATGAGCCTAGCTTACGTCCACCAGTGTAAATTAGATACTAGAAAGATTTAATAGATAAAAGACATGAATATTATCATCACATTTGTATATTCTACTCATCATTCATAATTTCTAGAATTGTTCACATTATGCTCTAGTCGGAATGTTTGAATTGTTTTCGTAACTAGCTTATTATTTCCAGCAATATTGAAAATCAAAATGAGGTTTGGGCTATAGATTACACAACATTTCAGGGTAACTATTATTTACTGAACAAGTGATACAAGCACAATCTTCAGGATATGGAAAACTCATAGTTGCTATAAATAAGTCCCTTAGAAAGTTGAAAAATGTAACAGATATCACGGTTGCACCCACCAGGGCTCTAAAAACTGTTCGGGATGTAAAATTAAAGGCCGAATAAGTGTGTTTTGAGGAAAGAGCTCTGATTACGTCATCTAAATTCAGAGCCCCCAAATGCCCTGGTACGGCCGAGAGTGGGGAGAGTCTACTCTCCCTCTCGAAATGCTCTCATATGGCCAGCGAATATATAGCCTCTGCCAGGGAAGTCCTACTCACTGCCTTCTCGTGGCGGGGGTGTTGTTTACGAAAGTGAGAGGACGAAAAGCGAATGTCCGGCGCTATAACCGGATTGGTGGACACGGAGGGTCCACCTAGGGGAGTTGGAAAACCCTGATTCCAAACCAATGGTGCACATGGGCTCCAGTTTCCTGATGGAACGAATGGCGGAAGAACCTGTCATTGGTCAACGACTACCATGGGACTGCATCTCCTCACGATGCTCCACTGCCTTGTGGATCAGACCTTTAGGTCAAAGGCTCCGGGTGTGACCCCCTGAGAAAACCACCTGCTTCGGTTTGGGCACCCGGGCAGTATCACAGCCCACACACAAATGAATGAAGTGACGAACTCTATTGACGATTCTATTCCTGCTCATATTATAAGCAAGACAATTAACATTATTATTATTACCTTTATTATTATTATTATTATTATTATTATTATTATTATTATTATTATTATTATTATTATTACTTACCATATCGCTAATTCACCCCCTTTTACCCCCAATTTGTGTAACCTTACTCTTCAACTTATGCATCAGCTCGCTCTTGGTGGAAAATCTGTCCTATCTAAACGATCTCCAGTCACTGTCTGGTTGAAAGTGAATGCTTCCACCGATAATGAATACTGAGGCAGTCTTTCTGAAACCACGTACGCCGTTCAAGCTGGCTTCCTTCAACGTTCGCACACTAATGCAGATCAGACAACAGATAGGGCTGGCTATGTCTTTGGAAGGTCTTAATGTTGATGTTTGCTGTCTATCCGAGACCCGTATTCAAGACTCTAGTGAAGTACTACAAATCCGCTCTCCATCTGTCTCCTCGAAAAGCTTGTTCCACGTGCGCTTATCCGGGGACCCTGTGGCATCTTCGTCTGGTCTTGCTGGCGTTGGTGTCGCACTAAGCGCTAGGGCTGAGGCAGCACTAATCGATTGGTTCCCCATTAACAGTCGGTTATGTGCTGTTAGATTAAAAAGTTCCATCAAAGTGAGAAGAAACCGGCGTGAGAAACGGCGTCTTTTCGTCATCTCCGCCTATGCCCCGACAGATTGCAGCCCGGATGCAATCAAGGATGAGTTTTACCATCAGTTAACAGTTCTTCTCCAGAAAGCGCGTTCGACAGATATTGTAGTACTAGCCGGAGACTTGAATGCACAGGTCGGGCGTCTAGGCACAGAAGAGAGTCGTCTAGGTGGCCGATGGGGACTTGTTGGTCGCAGGACAGATAACGGGGACCGTTTGCTGCAACTGTGCACAGACTGTTATGACTCGTATAACAATCGTTATTGTATATGAAACGTGCAATGATACAGAAAATACGTACGAGCAGTCTTGATTGCTATTCGGTCCTTCCTAACTGCCTAGCCCAGCCAGTTGAGTCCAGAACCCCAATAACAACCTCGGAAATATGAATCATTATTCACAAGCACACTGGGTTATATATACTAACCAAACAGACCCAATTATACCAAAAAAATAGAAAAATAACATTTGTACAGTAATTGGCCAATGTGGCTGTAGCTAGGGGGAAAGTAATCAATAATAATAGTTCCAAGGTCAAAACAAAGGTTGTGATGAGAGGAACACGGAAACGACTAGGTCACTTATTTAACAACTATCCAATAGGGAATGGGCATATTGTATTTGTCCATAAATAGACATCAGATTTAGGTTACTCATTTAACAACTATCCAATAGGAATAGGCGTATTACATTTGTCCATAAATGGACATCAGATTTATGATTCATAATTCGCCAGGGGATACAACACCTCCCCTTTTTGAGAAATCCGGATTTTTAATTTTCTCGAATTCACCCTCCCCCACGAAAGACTGTTGGATCCTCATATAGCCAAGTTACTATTAATGCGATACGTTTGTCACCTTTAACAGGGAATGCATTAGAACTGAAGAGATCATGAGGATCGACGACATTTGATTCGAGGTCACCAACATTTGATTCTTCTGAAATAGTTTCCTTGAATTTCCTCGGAACCTCATTAGTAGATAATGAATCATTAGGATAATCAGTATCTATGAGAGTTGTATTGGATTCTTGATTATCATTAAATACATCTGACATTTTTCTCTCATTTTTATAAGAGAATTCAACAGAAACATATGAATCATCAAAATAATCTAAATCTGGTAGAACAATTACAGAATTTTGATCATTAGATTCATTAGAAACATTTTCCCTATCATGATTAATTTCATTTGGTGCCACTGTATTCCATATACTGCTCGATTTGTTTCCCGTTTCTTCGTGGGCGGGTACTGCAGCAATTTCATGAGCATTTTGCAAGACATTTACTTTCTGTGAATAGGATAATTCATTGTTTGCACGTCCGTTTTCGGGATTAATAAGACTTGGACCGTGTACAGGGCATGTCTCTGAAACAGGTAGTACTGGGTTACTGGGCTGATCATGTATAACTGCTGCGCTTAAATTATTGCTTTGTATGGATTCATTGAGGCTTTCGCCGGCATATTCATTAGTTCTGTAATTGTTTTCCAGCTCTGTACGCAATTTTGAAATTATTGCGTCAACTTCCGTTTCACTCCCAAAGCATGGGTGATTCAGCAGCTTCGCGTGTAATTTGTCAATGAAATCCAATTGACTCTTTCTGAAGCGCTGCTCTTGTCGCTGGATTAGCAACTGAAATTGGTCGGAAGTTAAGGCCATTTTTTTAAATGTAAATAATAATAATAAATCCAAAAAAACACCGGCAATTATTATGGATTATTTAATTCCGAAATGACGTCAGCGGCTGCTGTATTTTTTTCCAGAATCCCCGTCGCCAATTGTTATGTCTCGTATAACAATTCGTTATTGTATATGAAACGTGCAATGATACAGAAAATACGTACGAGCAGTCTTGATTGCTATTCGGTCCTTCCTAACTGCCTAGCCCAGCCAGTTGAGTCCAGAACCCCAATAACAGCCTCGGAAATATGAATCATTATTCACAAGCACACTGGGTTATATATACTAACCAAACAGACCCAATTATACCAAAAAAATAGAAAAATAACATTTGTACAGTAATTGGCCAATGTGGCTGTAGCTAGGGGGAAAGTAATCAATAATAATAGTTCCAAGGTCAAAACAAAGGTTGTGATGAGAGGAACACGGAAACGACTAGGTCACTTATTTAACAACTATCCAATAGGGAATGGGCATATTGTATTTGTCCATAAATAGACATCAGATTTAGGTTACTCATTTAACAACTATCCAATAGGAATAGGCGTATTACATTTGTCCATAAATGGACATCAGATTTATGATTCATAATTCGCCAGGGGATACAACACAGACCACAACCTGTTTCTGGCCAGCACTAACTTCCGGCACAGTCATCGCCGGTGTGCCACCTGGCGTCCTCCCTCTGCATCCCAGGCCTGGGCTCAGATTGATCACATCGCGATCAGCTACCGCTGGCGTGGTTGTGTACAAGACTGCCGCTCCTTTTGGAGTACCTATCTGGAGTCTGATCATGCCCTGGTCTGCGCCAATCTCACCTTACTTTTCAGTGGCCGAAGGATTGACCACCACCAACGGATTGATATTAGTAAACTGGCTGCAACTCCTGTTGCAAGTAAGTACCGAGCGGAGCTAGCCTCTAGGCTAGCTAACACCCCACCGAAAAGTATAGATGAGCATTGGTTGCATCTTCACGACGCCATGAAAATGGCGAGTAAAGCCGCTTGCGGCTTCGCGAAACGTCCCGCTTACAAGCACTGGGTTTCTTCTGGCTCCTTACAACTGATGGAAGCCCGTCGGTCTACTCCGGGTGACCGTGAGTTTGACCACAAACGAAGGCTGTTACGTAATGAAATTGGGCAAAGCTTGCGTAAGGACCGGGAAGCCTGGTGGTCGGAGCGTGCTAATGAGATGGAAGCAGCAGCTGCATCTGATAACTGCCGGAAGCTCTTCCAACTCATCCGAGCCACTGGCAGCAAGAAGTCTGGTGTGAGTGAAACAATCTACGAGGATGATGGGATGCCAATCACTAACATCTCCCGACGTCTTGGACGATGGGCGGAATTTTTCGAAGGGCAGTTCAACTGGCCTGCTGCTCCGGCAACATCAACCAGCTTGTCCTGCCCCCCATGGCCGGTGACGACTGATCCACCAAACGAGGCGGAAGTCCGCAAGGAACTCCAACTCTTGAAGCGCTACAAATCACCTGGCCCAGATGACTTACCTCCGGCTCTTTTTAAAGATGGTGGCGACTTTCTGACTAAGGAATTGACTGTGTTGTTTGGAAAGGTTTGGGAGCAAGAAAGTGTTCCAACATCATGGAATGAGTCAATAGTCGTCCCTATCTTTAAAAAGGGTTCGCGTTGTTCCTGCAATAACTATCGGGGGATAAGTCTACTTCCGATTGCGTCCAAACTATTGGCTTCTATCATTCTTCGTAGGTTGTTTAAAACCCGAGAACGATTGACTCGCGAGGAGCAGGCTGGTTTTCGTTCTGGTCGAGGATGCATTGATCACATCTTCACCCTCCGCCAAATGTTAGAACACCGTCATACTTATCGCAGGCCAACAATCGTAGTGTTTCTTGATATCAGGGCTGCCTTCGATTCGTCGGACAGGACTGTTCTCTGGGATTGTCTATTGAAGAAGGGTGTGCCTGAGAAGTTCATTAACATCTTAAAGGCCCTGTACACGAACACCTCAGGCAGAGTGAGGGCATACAACCACCTTTCTCCCTTGTTCCATTCGAGCAGTGGGGTTAGGCAGGGTTGCCCGATCTCACCATTCCTCTTCAACTTTGCCATCGACGACATCTTGGAAACAGCTCTGATGGATGTAAGTAATGGCGGTGTGGATATGTTGCCTGGAGAACGACTTCTCGACCTTGAGTATGTGGATGATATTGTCTTACTGTGCGATAATGCCCAAGGCATGCAATCAGCACTTAATCAGTTGGCAATCAGTGTCCGCAGGTACGGCATGTGCTTTGCACCCTCCAAGTGCAAAGTACTTCTACAAGACTGGCAGGATTCTAATCCTGTACTCACCCTGGATGGTGAGCAGATCGAAGTAGTTGAGAAGTTCGTGTATCTAGGTAGCTATATAAGTGCTGGTGGTGGCGTGAGTGATGAGGTTGATGCACGTATAAGGAAAGCCAATCTGGGCCATCTTTGGCGCCTTCGTGATGTTAGTCTGGCTGTAAAAAGTCGGATTTACAACGCGTCGGTGAGAGCAGTTTTGCTCTATGCTTGTGAAACCTGGCCTCTCCGAGTTGAGGATGTTAGACGTCTCTCTGTGTTCGATCATCGTTGTCTCCGAAGGATTGCTGACATACAGTGGCAACACCATGTTAGTAATGCAGAGGTTCGGTATCGTGTGTTCGGGCACAGAGACGATAATTCAATTGATGTCACCATCTTGAAACACCGACTTCGGTGGCTTGGACATGTTTTACGAATGTCGTCCCAGAGACTTCCACGTCGTGCATTATTTGCCGACCCTGGGACTGGTTGGAAAAAGCGGAGAGGAGGTCAGTGTATGACATGGTGTCGTGGCATGAAAGAGAGCTGCAAAGGGCTAGCTTCTGTTGGACCTTCACGACTCCTTGGTTGGGGTCCGAGAGATGGTGCAACACAGTGGCTAGAGACGTTATCAGATATGGCTCAGAATAGAAACCAGTGGCGATCCTGCTGCAACCTTCTTTTACTTTCTACATAAAGTATGGTTCTTACTTTCCTATTTGAAAGAGTCTTCTGGTTGTACATTTTAGTCCGCCTTATCTTTTCATCCCTTCTCTTCCTACTTTCATTATTTTGTGTGGCGCATATGTACCTGGTGCCCTTTTGTACCAATATATATGTTTAAATAAATAAATAAAATCTAAATTCAGAATTGGGCATTTTATTCTAATATGTTTGCCTGATGGCGGAATGTTTACTGAAGTTGCAGATGAGTTACATTTCAACGTTGGAAATAATTAAAAGCTTGGAGAGTTAGTGTCATAAGTTGTCATCAGTAAATCATATACGACACTCGGAAGTTGCTCTACTTATTCTGTTGATGAACTCTCAGTTTATCTAGCCATATATCAAACACATTTCATAGACTATATTTTTACAAATAGTCGACTTTTATTAGGCTTAAAACTCGCTCAGTAGAAAACCGATCTATGTATGGTGGAATTTTTTGATGAAGATATGTCAATTAAAAGTCGTTTTCAGGAGATTCACATCCAATATCTGCTTGTTTGTAGAAAGCCTTCTTCAAGTTGAAGAAGAATGGTCCCCATCATATATTTGATCTTCGTGTTTTCTAGTTCTATCTACTGATTAGGCAGGGAAGGCAGATTGAAATCATTATGGATGCCAGAAAATTCATAGATCCAGTGGTGCAAGCTAATAATTATTGTACTTAACCTAACCACTGTGCTTTGAATCGATCTATGGAAGTATTTTTTCCTTTTACTGTATATTTCCTAAGTTATACTTCAAAGTTCTATAAACTGCAAATTGCATTCATTAGAATTGTTTATCATCTCTTTTCAGGTACATATATTTTACTTTATTACGCGATCCTATCAATCGTTTTATTAGTGAATGGCAACATATACGCCGCGGTGCTACATGGCATTCAGCTACTCTTCGATGCAACAAACAATATCCACCACTTGAACACTATAAACCATGTTATTTTAATGAAGAAATTGTCGAAAACATCTCGTCTAATGTATCCATTAAATCTGTTATTGATTGTCCGTACAATTTAGCAAGTAATCGTCAAACAAGAATGTTAGCAAATCTTTCTAGTCTAGGATGTTATAAGCATTTAACGAAATGGTCTCAACCTCTCAATGTCACAGTATTAACTCATATTCCATCAGATTCATTAGCACTTTTAAACAGTGCTAAACATAATCTTGTCAATATTATTAATTGTTATGGCTTAAGTGAATACTTAATTTATTCGCAATATATATTACAAAAATGTTTACATATTACTTTTAAACGCACATTTGTTGAATTTAATAAAATATCTTTTATTAAACCAAGATTATTGTTTACACATGCTACAATAATCCGTTCTAATTTAAATCAGTCTACTTTGCATGAAATACAAAATGTAAATAGGCTAGATATTTTTCTATACGATTTTGCCAAACAATTATTTGTGTATCGATTAGTAAATTATTTATTATTTGATTCAAATATACCGCTGCATTTCAGACGACCTTTACATACTATTTGGCACAGTAGACTTAGGTCTAAATCATACATATGTCTAAGTTATTTACTATTTTCCAATCCTATCATCAACCACCATGATGCTAATATCAGTAGTAATGCATTTTCATATCGCTTCAATTTATTTCTTACTAATTTGTTCATTCGTAAAGGTAGCATTCCAGTATCTGAGTCTATTTTAACCAGTGAAAATAAGAAATGGAGTGATCGACTTTCTTACGATTTTAAAATATAGTTTGTAAATTATTTACATTCTGTGCATCGGTCCCCTCCCTCTACGCTCACTTGTTGTATTTCCACTCTCCCAACCAGTTTTCAATTGTTAAATAATGTTTATTTTACTAAATATTATTTAAAGTATTTCCTCACAAATTATTCTAATGAGAAGAGTAAAAAAAGCGACAAACTATGAAAAACATCTGGGGGGGGGCATTAGTATATCTAATTTTTATGCGTTATTATTAACAGTTCATATGTTTTCCATTTCTTCAGTATCCCAAGTTTTCATTTTGTTCAGCAACTGTTGTCATATCTTCTTTTGTTCCCAAGTAATTGTAATCTGATCATGAGCTAAATATCCTAATTTTGTACCCTGAATGTCTTATTTTAGTTATTGTACGTTGTGGTTCAGTTGTTCATATCTCTAAACATGTACGTTTATGAGTTGATGATTCATTTAGATACAGAGGTTTGGACTACTAACTTCGTGCGGTATTTTCTCATCGGTTCTTGAAAGAAAGGAAGTGTATGAGCATCTGGTTAGTGTTATAACAGATTGTTTAGTCAATTGGTTAAAATGGTCAGTCTGCTACATCAAATCATTTGTAGTCGGACTCACGCGTTGCTGTTACAGAATTATATTAGGTAGCCTAATGTATCAACAGCATTACTAGATCATCAGTTTTCTTGCATCTCTAACATCAGGACCAGTGGATATCAGAGGTCATCACACGGAGATTTTCAAGGTTGTGATTATTTTAAATTAATTTTGGGATGTATTTAGGAACCAATATTATGCATATAATTTTTATCGTCTAATTGCTAAATAACTAAACTATTCATATTCGTGTCCCCCTTATTATAAGCTTTATTTTCATCTAAAGACTATTATTATACATTAACCATTCTTGAGTTATCCCTAGTCTAATAATTACTGCCTCCCACATTTGGCCAAATCTTGTACAAATGTTATTTTATTGGTACGATGTGGTCAGTATGTTTGAAATATAATGATTCATACCGCAGAGGTTGTTCTGGACCCAACTGGCTGGGCTAAGCAGAAGCGGGACCGATACGTACTGTAGACTGCTCGTACAGTTTTCATGTGTGGCTGTTCCAGTCGATAATTCGCGGTCTTATCACGAAATACCTTAAGAAGACATCCACTCAGCCACAAGTCATAACAATACCACATTCACACGATCTTTTCAACGACCTCCAAATTTTTGCTGTTAACACTGACCTAAGAGTTAATTCTCTGCCTTATTATCAACAGAACTACCAACATGAATTAAAGTTTACAGTTAGTATAACGTGTGTTCAACCTATGTAAACTAGATACCAAGTTTGTGTTTTTCGATTTGTGAATATTTATTGAGAATACATGAGTTATAAGGGTTATTGACGAAGTGTTACGCAATAGCAGTAAAGAGGAAAAAAATTAAAAACCACAAAACAATGGAAAACGCGAGAACACCATATTTTCGAATCAGCATACAGTCCTTAAAGTATTCAATAAGCAATATCCAATATATTTGTTTCGAGCTAATGTAAACTAATTGAGTCTTCTGTACTTGCGGTACAGTTACAGGTCTTGAGTGGGGTTAAAGTAGGATGCTTTATCCAATGAACTGTACTGGTTCTAGTGTGTTTGGTAATTATTTGTTGGTCAGTGCATCTTGAAGTGTGAAAGCGTTTGGTGATGGGGTATATAGCATGTATGAACATGGTTAGTCACATCGTGCATCTTTCTGTCCATCTCGTGTTTAGATAAGACATTTCATACGGTTGTTAATTTAACCCATGAAGTTGCATTATATGCTTGTTTTTAATGTCAAATATCCGGCTGTGTTGCACTACATTCCTGAAGCTAGCTTATGCTATAATGAATCAGTTGGTGATAGACCGGAAAAGTTCAACATAGAGGTTTGTAAGAAAGTCTCGTGTCTTCAAAGTTGTTTAAAAGCTTTCAAAAAGACATTGGTACTTTTCCTAGCTCAGTTAATTTTATCGTTTTCATTGTAACTTATGCATTTTCTTTTTCATCGCCGGAGTATAACAGAAGTTCCCCTGAAGATAGTCGTTGTTGTCCAACCTGTGTGCAGTGTTTTTCACTGATCCCAAGCACCTCCAGTTTGTATTTCCTCATTTCTGCAGCAATTTGGAAGACTCTTTCGGTTTCTCACATTGTCCGGACATTCCACTTACCTATAATAATTGTTGCTCTGGTTGTTATAAAGGGCATCGGCTTGGTGAATTGCGAAGGAACTCGGCTTTCATTATGAGGCGTCATATTTCTTTCTTGAACTCCCAGGGCTGAGTTTAAATAGTTTGAATAATTTTTTCTGGTTAGCGTTTCTTTTTTAGCTAGTTAGTTTTCTACGGGATAGGGTCGCTAACCCCATGCCCAACCCTCCTCCTTTATGCGGGCTTGGGACCAGCAGTAGCCCCCGGGGGTGTTACAGGCGGAGCTATATATATATTTATATAAATTTTGTTGTTTTTCGTCATTTAACTGTTCATCAATATGTATATATTCCTTTTCAGTTATGTTTTCTAAAAATTATTTTCACAACATTCTAAGGAACATTTTACATTGTTAATAAATGATGATTTTTATTTGTCTTGTACACTTTCCCACATTCTACCTAAGGAACTATGAATTTTTATTTAGGCGGAATTTTAAATGTATTAAAATATAATTTGTAATGTGCAAGATTATTGAATGAAGAGTATGGAATTTCATAATTCTCAACTGGTTTTCCGTCATGCAGCCCAACTTATTTAATTAACAATGTACTCAGTATTGGGCTTTATTGTTTGTGTGACAGCTAGTGTCATTAGCAAGTTGATTAAATAGAAGTAGGTAAGTCAGAGTGTGAACCTGAAATTTAGTGGTTGGATGTCGAATACTTGTTGTGTCGGTTGTTATCCTAAGCCCACATAGCTTATCTTGGCTTCTGGACAAGCCAATTTACTCATTTGCATTGTGTCATATTTTTACTTTGTTAATTATCCGTTTATTAATTCTGACTGTTTTTTATATGAGAGTATGTGTGTGCACTTATTATCCTATTCATCATATGTCTGTAACTTATTTTTGTTCGACTATAAATATGGATTCAGGCTTTTTTAAATTGAGTTAGGTGACACACCTTGACTACGCGTCGTTTCGCCTCGTTTCTTCGATCGTTTGTATGGATCAATGATTGTGTGAAATACACGTACTCAAAATCAATTCTCATATTTGACTTATTCCATTCCGCTGTTCACCAGCGCTATTTAAGTCGACGATTATATACGAGAGTCGCTCGGATGTATTTATCGATAACAATCAATCATACGATCTAACTGCAGTGAGATATAGGGCCACTAAACATTTTTATAACCAGCCAGTCGCTACCATAGTCCCTAATCATAAATTGCCACAGTTGTATCCGCTCAAATCTGCAAGTCTATATCTCTTAACACCATATACTGTTGAACAAATCGAAGTTATAAATTCACTTAGTGTTGTTTGTTTGAATCATCCCGTTGGTGTTAAGGTTTGCAACTGGTCAGTCTCTAATTGACATATGTGCACATTGTGTGTATTGCCTCAATATAGCCTTAATTCACAAGCATTATAAGCAAAGATGGATAGTGGCTAGCAGTGGAATCGAGGACACGCGTTTCGCCCCATTTGGGACTCGTCAGCTGGATGTACCTGCATCTCAGAGTTGATGTTCACTCTGGGACTTGAATCCAGTACTTTTCGCTTCAAACGCCATCGCGTTATCTACTGACCAGTTGCAGTCCTAAACATCAATGGGAAGATTCAAACAAACAATACTAGGTGAATTTAAACTTCACACCATTGCACGAGCAAGTGACTATCAGGATTCAGTAGCTAAGTGGATAGCGCGATGGCGTTCGAAGCAAAAGGTACTGGGTTCAAGTGCCAGAGTGAACATCAACTCTGAGATGCAGGTACATCCAGCTGACGAGTCCCAAATAGGACGAAACGCTCGTCAAACTGAATTCCACTGCTAGCCACTATCCATATTTGCTTACCAATCAAAGTTATGTTTATTTGATTTCCATAAATCATATATTGGTTAGATTATTTAAAATATAGTACTAGTTGTATTTCTTGAATCTGTTACCTTAAAACTACATGTATTATATCAAATTTATTCCATTTTTATCATTACTCTTAAATATGATTAGTAACTATTTGAATGGAAAAAATATCCTACATATAGTATGAATACAAAGTCTACCCCTTATATTTTATTGATTACGAAATAAATTATTATATGCAATTGGTTCCCTTTATGAATTTAAATAAAGCAAGAACAAACATTGATGCAGATTTTTCGTGCGCACTCAAAAGAATGCCTCGAAGAAGAAATTACTACAATCACCAAATGCCTACGCGAAAATGCATATCCGGATAAATTCATCCACAAATATGCTAATACAAACCCTCCGATTAAGCATGATACAGTTGAAAAGAAAACCTGCTTCCTATCCTTACGTTTCAAAGGAGATGAAATCGCCGGAATTATCAATCACATAATTAATTCCGCTTTAAAAGTGACCTACCCGGCAGCCAAAGTGACTACGTTATGGAAAACATACTGTTCACTGAAACAAACGAAAATCGACAAGTCCTCTCCCCTCTGTTGCTCCAACTGCATTTACCGATTCACATGTACGTGCCGTAGCACATACATTGGAAGAACTGAGAGAAGAGTACAGGTTCGCATTTCTGAGCATATTCCGAAGAACTTGACGCTGCGAGGGACTAAAGCTTTTAACAGTGCAATAGCTCGGCATCTACTTGACACCGGGCATACCGTCGATATTATGTGCGCGTTTAAAATTATCAATAGACAAAGAACCACTACCACTCTCCGCTTTGCTGAAGCCATTGCAATTAAGAAACTGAAACCGGACTTATGCATCCAAAAAGAGACTTTAATAAACTTATCACTACCCTGGTAATCCTTTTGTTTCTGTTTGTTTTGTGTTCTGGTTATTTTATTCATTTACTTATAAGATAATTTTACCCCCCCCCTATTGCCTAATTCTTAAAATAAATTTTATTCACACATTTCCACCACCTGATCCTCTTAACTTTCCAAACCCTATTTAATTATTATTACGTAATCTACCGTATCATTAGTCAATTCCATTAATCTCTACAATTATCACACAATTTATGAACTTCACTAAATTATTACACCACCCACCCTGGATTAACCTCCCTCTTTTGACCTCTGACCTGTTTCTAGCATATATATATAGTTATTATTGTAATCACGTTATTTACACTCATTTATGTCAATTGTTTCACACTATCTTCATGTAAAAATTCTATCACAATTTTGGTTTGTAAGCAGCTGACGAGAAACCTCGAAATAATATGAATTCATACTATTCTGCATCAATGTTTGTTCTTGCTTTATTTAAATTATTATATTTGATCAATCAATATATAATCGATAATTTTGAAATACAAGGTCATCTTTCAATGATGTTAAAGTAAAATATTATATTTAATCAATCAATATATAATCAATAATTTTGAAATATAAGATCATAACAAGAATTTAATTTAATTATATCCATTTCTTATATAAGATTCATGTATTTTATAACAATTATATTATCTTTAGTAATATATTTATTTTTATTAAATTTTATTAAGATTTCTAGTACATTGAACTACTGTAACGATAATAGAAGTCTCATATATAATAATAATAATATTGGTTTAGACGAGTGCTATAAATTACAATTAAACTTAGCTAAACAACGTCATATTATTAAACTTATTAAATATAATCAATTCACAAATATACAATTAACATGTCATCTATGTTCAAATGAAAATAGAACCAATTTTCAATGGTTTCGTATAACACGTAAAAAATATAATCAAACCATATTTCTATTCAATAATAAAACATTCTATGATCATAAATGGATATTAGATCAAAATTTATATGAACCAATTATAAGTAATATAATAACAAATGATCCATGTATCATGAATAATACAAATGAATTAATTTATGAAAAATTTGATCCATTGAATGATTCTGGTACATATATATGTCAATCATTATATAATAATAAACATCCTACTAATTTTATATGGTATCATATAGATTATATTAATCTATATCAAAATAAATTATCTCAATTCAATATATCATCAATCAATAAAATTGTTACTACCTATCAACAATTAATAAAATTACAAAAAAATATTAAAAAACAAATTTATTTACTAAATTCATTTTATAATCAAAAATTTAATTTATTATCTATAATAATTAAATTTTATCATAATTTAACACAATATACATATTGTAATAATATATATAATATACAAATTAATTATATTTGTTATATACGTATACCAAGAAAATTATTATTATTATATAATAATATAGATGAAATACAATTAATTTATTTTATTTTATTTAATGGTTTTTATCAATTTGGACAATTTTATGATGATGATAATAAAATTAACCAATCAAATTTAATAAAAATATATAAAATTTTTTATGAAAATTTAGCGAATCAATTAAATTTTAAATTATTTTTAAATAAAACATATTTATATATACCATGTCAATATAATTTTTTTAAACAATTACCTAATTTAAATTATACTTTTCAACCATTAAATATATTAAATTATTATATAATTATTAAATATAAATTGAATTGTAAACAATTAAATAATAAAAAAATAATTAATTTATTATTATTAAATAATCATTATAATAATATAAATAAATTAAAATTAAATATTTCTAATTATAATTATATAAATTATATGAAATTAGAAAAGTTAGTTATAGAAAATGAAAAATTAATAAAATTAGATTGTTTTCTTAATGAATCATATACATGTAATAATAATAATAATAATGGTAATTATTTAGTAAAATGGAGTATATCATTTCATTATATATATTATTCACGTACGTTATTCAATGAACGAATATATATAAATGAAAAATGTCAATTAATTATTCATAATGTTAAATTAAATGATTCTAATATATATAATTGTTATATCAAAAATATATATCAATTAAATAATAATAATGAGCCATGGCAACTAAAAATATCATATAGATTAAAAATTGAAAAATCATATTATGAATGGCCAAATGAAACTAATTTATTCATTGGTTTATTATTTCTTTTAATATGGAGTATATTTATTATAATAATATGGTTAATTTTAATAATTTATAATATGTATATATATTATATATCAATCTAAACAATTAACTAATTAACAATTAGTTTGTATTGAAATGTATTAAAAATAAAAAAATGTAAATTTTTTTGTTGTATCTTGTGGCCGAGTGAATGCCCAGTTAACGTATGACTTGATAAAACCGCCATTCAGAGAGCATCGAATTATCGATTAGAACAGTGACACACGGAAACTGTACGAGCAGTCTTGAGTGCTAATCGTTCCTGCTTTCTGCGTAGCCCAGCCAGTTTAGTCCAGAACACCAATAACAGCCACTGCAATATGAATCATTGTATTTCAAACATACTGAGTTAATATGCCAAACAAACTGACCAAATCGTACCAATAAAATATAAAAGAAGATTTCTACAATACTCAGCCCAATGTGGCTGTGAATGTGGGAGGCAGTAATCAATAGACTGGGGATAATTCAGGAATGGTAAATCGTATAATAATAGTCTATAGGTAAAAATAAAGCTCATAATAGAAGGAACATGAATATGAGTAGTTTAATTATTTAGCAAATATACGATAAAAATTATATGCATAATATTGGTCCATAAATGGATCCCAAAGTTACCATTCACTATTGGTATCGGGACATAACATTTTTAATGATACAATTACTTAATGAATTAAAATTGATTATTTGTTTGATAGTGAAATTTTCATGTAAAAAGGTGAGATCTTGGGTGTGTGCTACTGGGGAGTCCCGTACTAGGACGAAACTGCTGTCCAATGCTTCCAGGTTTTCCCTAGTGGTCTAGCTTTAATTAACTCATGCTTTTAAATATGAAAAAAAAGAAAAGTTTGATTATAAAAACGTCGATTGATTCTATTACATTTCTGTTTTGATTATAATTTACATAATGAAAAAACCTAACTTTTTTGACACAAATATGCAGTAAAATATGATAATGCTCAACTGCTTACTAGATTATACGATCATATAATGCACACATACTGAAATTATATTTCAGGATTTATTATTATTATTATTATACACACACTCATACACTCTCCGACTATAGAGATACAATAGTTTATTTACACAAGTATAAACATTCCACATACAGTGAAGGTCAGAGTAGTACGAAAATTAGAAGGGAATTTGTTATGAATTGAAAAAATAAAGAAGGCCGTATACTAATTTGTTGTGGTCTTATGTTCGGCGTTTTTTATCACGTTAATTATCCACCAATCAAAATACGACTTTTCTAGTCTCAATCAATGACGTTCGACCGGTATGAATAGCCTAGCATCCTTATTCGCCCCTTGTCCGCCTAGCCCTTCCAATTGAGACCAGAACACCAATTGCAGCTTCTACTATGCGAATCATTTATTTCAAGCATACTCAGTTTATATACCAGACAGACAGACCGCATCAAACCATAAAATAGAAAATAATATTTGTACAAGATCAAGCCAAATGTGGCTGTGAACGTGGGAGACAATAATCAATAGATAGTAAATCGTATAATAATAATTCATAGATCAAAATGAAGCTTATGATAGGATGAATATAGATATACACACTCTAGTTAGTCAATAGTTAAACAATAAGAATATATATATAATGATCGTCCATTAATAGGTCCCGGAAGTTACCCGTATTTATTTCTTCACTAGGATATAACATAATTCACAATATTAAATTATTTTCCCAACATTTAGTAAAGTTGATTGTTTGTATTTTTCTCACTGGCTATTCATAACTCAACATTGTATGTTTCTTTTAAGTTACTTGTGCCATATCTAGAGCTTAGATTCTTAATGTACTGTGTACAACTTGAGCACTCGAAAGCTAGAACCCTCCCAAGTTACAAATGAGAACACAGAAGACAAGTGAAAGGAATACTTTTTCAAACAGTGTCAAATATGGTACAAAACTTTCACGTATTTATAGTTTTTAATTTAAACGAAATCATCATTATAGTCCTCCAATCCGCATACAGGGGGTTATTAGCATTTGTCCAATAGGGGAGCTGCACGTAAGGATTCTGGAATACTCTTCCAAAAGATGATTGGATGGAATATGTTCGGCTCTTTCTGAGCTTCTTAGAGCTTTCTCGAGTTCACCCGTTGACCGTCCTCACAACCTGTAACAAAATTACAAACGAAGTTTGGTAGACTTTTGATCAAAATAAACTTGTACGAAGGTCATTGTAAATACGTTTTAAAGATACCCATTGTGTAGCAAAGTTGTTTAGAATTCAAATATAACTTGAAAGAAAAAAAACATAATGTGACAAATAAAAATTATCATATGCACAGGAAGGTTCTGAATCTAAGTAGTATGATTAATTGGTAAGCATTCAAGTCAAAACCTAATTATGGAAGAAAAGCCACTAATAATTTGAAATCAAATACAAGACAACTGACCAGTAAAGATAATGGTCTTCTATAATGAGATGGTGAACTGATCTGTAAGTTATGTAACATATTTAAACATAGTTATTTGTAGGATTAGGATAGTTGTTAGACCATTCACGAGTCAAACCAATTGAAGCCCTAACTATTAGACCTAAGCCTTGCCCTCTATATCGTTAAAACACCTATTAAAGTTTCAATGAATCATCAAGGGACTTGAAATAAGCAGTTGGATAATCAAATAAATGGATGAAATTTATCAATAGCTTAAAATAAAATTATAAACAATGTAAGAATTGAAAAATGATATATAGTTAGATAAGCGGAAAATGACAAATAAACGTGTAATCGGTGACAAATTAATTTCTTTAGTCTTGTACAGTAAGTAGTTTTTCATACACCAGAAGGCGGAAACCTTGCATTAGGGTACTATCGCTGACCCATACACAAGTGGAGTAGCTCAAAGCAAATATGCCAAATCTATATCTGATGAGTGACTTACTCTATTTTTGCGGTATCAGTTCAATTCAATAAAAGTCAGCCAACTGGTCTGTAGAATTTCAGAAAACTCGTTTATAGTATATTCGGTTAGTTCGTAACAAGCAATTGTAATCAATTCGTGATATTAACAAGGATCTGCCAGTGTCATTGGTAAGTAACTGTTTTACATTCAACATAATTGAAATCAACTGGTAACAGCTTTTCATTAGAACTCTGAGAATTGTCTCTTGAAATTAGTCACCAATGAACATATGATTATTACGAGTGTAAGGCTTTTATGATGGTGGAGAAGATTTGTAGCTCAGGTAGGTGATTTTGATGGAGTTTTGTTCTCTGATCTGAATGGTTTGGTCATGGAGCTTTCATCGTCCTTTTGAAAGACATCATCAACACAAACTTCGGGTAGAAGTTAGAAATATACGTGTTAGACATACGTCGCTAAACTTAAAGGTCATTGGTTCGATACCTGATGAAATTTCAAGTAAATATTATTGACATGTTGTATACTAGAACAAGACAATTATCCTTTCATTGGCTGTTTAATTGAAGTCAGTTTGTGATGTAAACTATAAAATCCAACAATCTCTAAAAACGTCTTACATTAGTAATGACTCTATTTATTGGTAGAATGACCATTTGTTTAATGAATATATATAAACAAAATTAACAACCATTTATGATTTTATTTATAATATATTACAAATCAAGTGTACTATACCATTATATTTAGTAGGCAAGGATGAATAATGATGAAAACATTTTTAATAGGTTAAATTAAGTTAAGAATATGATGGATTGGATTTATCAATGGATTATATATTTCATAATTTACAATATTGTCGGTATGTCATTTATTAAATTATTTGTATTAATCTTAATTTATCTATCATAATATCGAAAACTTGGAAGCACTGGATGGCTCAGTGATCTGGAGGTTAAGCGTTCAAGCGCGAGACTGATAGGTCCTGGGTTCAGATCTCGTGGGGGCGAGATTGTAGATCCGCATTGCTGATGAGTCCCATACTAGGACGAAACGGTCATTCAGTACTTACAGGTTTTTCACGATGGTCTAGTTTCAATTGACTCATGATTTCAACTGTAAAAATTACTAAAATCTCCACAAAACCCCCCTTCTGATCATTTGTATTAATCTTAATGTATCTACCATAATATTATTATTTTGTTGTTGTTGTTGTTGTTGATATATTTCAACAAACATCATTTGAATACGAAATGAAATCAGTTCGGAAAACCAGTGAAAATCAGTGAACAGTTGTTACATCATAATTTATAACTCTTCAATATGTAACCAAATTAAAATAAAATAATTAACCATTATTCCTATTCCTTCACTATTTAATTTGCCATAGTTATTTAACTGATGTTATTTCATCCTGAAAATGTTCAACGAACATTTAGATTCGATGTAAAAAAAGATTGAAACTACACGGATTAGGAATTAGTGTGGAATGTTAGTTCATTAATAGTTAAAGCAATTTCAAGAATTCACTTGATATAATGTAAAGTTATTTTTAAATGTTGGTGAGATCCAGAATATTCCTCGAAAAAATGCCCAAAATTGTTCAGAAAACGTCAGGATACATTTTTATCCAATCATCGTTGAATATAAGTGTTATGTCTTGTATCCGCCAATTGGAAAGGAGTGACTTATCAATCGGACCAATGACGCATAAAACCTGTACGAGCTGTTTACAGTCCTTATCGGTCCTGATTTCTGCCTAGTCCAGCCAGTTTAGTCCAGAACACCAATAACAGCCTCTGCAATATGAATCATTATTCTTAAACATTCTGGGTTTATATACCAACCAGACAGATCATATCGTACCATAAAATAAGAAACAACATTTGTAAAATATTTAGTCAAATGTGACTGTGAATAGGGGGAACAGTAATTAATGGACTAGGGATAACTCAATAATGGTAAATCGTATAATAATAGTCTATAGGTCAAAATAAAGCTTATGATAAGAGAAACACAAATACGAGTAGTTTAGTTACTTAACAGTTATACAATAAAAATATACGCATCATATTGGTCCATAAATAGTTCTCAAAAGTTACCATTCATAATTCTCTCCGGGATATAATAAGAAGTTTCTCAGAAATGTCTAGAAAGTGAAGAGTCACGTGTCACATTTCTGATTGGGTGGTTACCTATCCTACTACTATGTTTAGTAGCATTCCAGAAGCCCAAAGTCATCTGAAATGCTATAAATACCTTAAATTTTCTGTACATAGAACGAACCTTCGAGTAAAGCTTCCTTTTCCATATTTCGTGCCTTTTCCCTTGTGTTCAGGTTGTCTTATAGATTTAATCTGGGGTTACTAGAAGAACTTAGGAAACCGATACAAGAGTTCAGTTAGAAGATTTATCAAAAAAAATGTATTATATTCTGCACATTAAAGCCGGTAAATTTCAGCTTCAACATTTGATTTATTGCGTATGAATCAATTTCACATTTCTACTACTGAATGGTTGTTAAATTTTATTGATCAGGTTAAAATATGGTTTCTAGCCTTAATGATTCAGCATTGTTGTTGTTATTTAGTTAAACACGATCAACAGGAAGTCAGTGGCATAAGTTTTAGATCTCATTTGAAATGACACATTAAGCTTGCAGATACTATCTCACTGATGATAAGTTTAAGCTGAAATGATACCTAGATTTAGGGTTGATTCACAGTTTTTTTTTCCGAAAATGTTAACATTTCAGTCATAACTACTAAAATGTGATATTCATTTGTGTTATTTTGCAAATAGATTTAGTAGTTTGAATCATCATTCATTCATTTTAAATAACTGGATCACTGGAAATCTCAGCTGTTTGATAGGTAGCAGGTTTGAAGTATCACTTAAAGTCGAGTACAACAACTGTATACAGTAAATGAAGAAAGAAAGAAACTTTTGTTCAACTGTTTACTTTTGATAAAATTTACAGATTTTTATGATCTTACTACTGCCACCATTACTATGTGTTACATGAGTTAACTATAAAGTATTTCTAAATGTATGGATCACTTATGCAAAAAGATTATATTTTAAAATAGTCTGTCAATCATCATTCAAGTAAGATCTGAAATAAACGTCTCATATTAAACACAGAGATAGAGAACATTAACAGAAAACGAGACAAAAAAGAGAACCAAATTTCAGTCTCAATAGAGACCTAAATATGAGAGATATAGTTTGAAAGACAGAAACAAGACTGAGAATGACACTTAACTGAAGATTAAGTTTAATCTTAATTGATTGATCATTGGGTGATGATCAGTGTCATGTGTGTCAAGTCCTTCTTAGTGCAAATTGAATGCTATCGATCAGATTGCAATGTGGCCACTAGTCTAGGTGGCTCAACACTGCTTGCACTATGTTGAAATAAAATGGTTGTTGGAGGTGTCCAACAGGTACACCTTGCTAACGAATGTCAAGTAGCACGAAACCCGGGTCCAGGGTTTCCCGTTGACCACCTCCAACCACCATCTTATATTTATTTTGATACATACAATTAATTTACAACTGAGTAGTGACCGATTTATTGTTTGTTTATTCCTTTTGTACTGATCAACTTCTATCGATCAAATGTCATTATGGTCAGTAGTCTGAGTGATTCAACATCGGGTGCACCATATTTAGATTTTGAGTGGTTGGAGGGAGTCGACAAGAATACCTAGACCTAGTTTTCCTGTTATCTGATACCAATCAGCAGGATGCACCTGTAATATTGACGGAACTTGTGATCCCTGGTAGATTTGATTCTGCATCAGCCAGCTTCATATTTTCAGACAACATAGTACACAGGATGTAAAGTTACTTATGCTAGTGACGGCGTCGCACTTTCATTTATAGAATTCGGTCAGCACTAAGAAGACTATAAAGATATGAAATTGACCCTTACTCTATAGTCAGTCAATTTTGAGTACATGTCAGTCCTACAGTAGGTCAACCGTGACACAGGTGAATCGACAGTAATTTCTAAGTTAGTGAAGCTGGATGATGTTGGTTCGTATCTCTCTAGGAGCATAATTCTCCTCAAAACTGTAGGTGCACCTTGCCGACTAGTGCTAACTAGCACGAAACCTAGGTCTAAGGTTTCCTATTGACTAATTCCTACCACCTAACATCTCAATGTAGTAGAATACATTCAATTAATAAAACTGCTTTATTGTTACTGATGTAATGTCATTTGAATTAATATCATCAACCAGTGACTACTAATATTACGATTTTCTTAGTAAATAAGGAGATTAGTTAAGTGTGGCAAGTGAATAAGTAATAAATGAACATAGTTGAGATGAGAATTTTGTGTTTACTTTGTACAAGCACTTTATTCTTTAATTTATTCTTTGGTTAACTGACAAAAGGTCCACTTATCCTAATATTTTATTTAAAGACACATATTTTTGAAGGGTTTTCGTGGAGATTGTTATAATTTTCAAGTATTATTTGTCGCAGACTAATCTCATTTGGGATACTTTTAAAAAACATGGAGCCCAAGATAGCTGTTTTATCTTAAAATGGAACTTCTCAAAAGTTCCGTCGTCTCATGTCGAACTCCTAACCATTAGAACGATTATTTCGTCGTTCACCTACACAAATTCAACTTGAGGCAATTTAGATACGAATAATAGTTCTAACACATGTTCGAAAACCCAGTCATTTGATTAGCGATTTAATCTTTCTAAAGTTGTTCGATTAAAGTTCGATGGGTCGGTCTCTTAAATAAATTTCTTATTCGACCAATTCAGTTTATCGAATCATTTAGGTTTTGGTAGTATTCAGATTAAAATATTGTTTGTCATTGAATTCTTATGATGTGTGGTTAGCAGAATCATTGAAAAAAACACAGACGGAATTATACTTAACACTATCCATCTAATTTAGATGATGACTATTTTAATTCATAAATGTTTCGTTAGGTGTTACATCAATCTCCTTTCTTTTCGATTGATTCCTCTAACATCATTTCTCGAAAGTAAATAACAAACTAATCTAATATCAGAATGGGTTTTTGTGGATATTATAGTAATTTTGATAGTTGAGATCATGAATCAATTAAAGCTAAACCACAATGGAAAAGATAGTGACTCACTGAAGACATTGGTGGGTGTGTCGCTCGATTTCGTGGATTGATTAAAGTTAGACAATAACGCCGTTGGATGTTGTCAAGCTCAGTGGTCACTGATAGGTCCTGAGTTCAAATTTCACAAGGCGACATCATGGATGTGCACTGCGAAGGAGACCCATAATAGGACGAAACAGCCGTCCAGTGCTTCCAGGTTTTTCATGATGGTCTAGCTTCAATTGATTCATAATCTAATATCCTTTATAAATATTAAAATATACTGAACTGTTATTGTTTTCTTTTCTCCAATTCTTTAGTTCCATGTAGAACTAATGAAATTTACAATATGACATCTAATCAACCATTAACTTGTAATACATTACTTACAAGTAATGTATTACAATATCATATGGAACAATTATTAACTCATTATGGTAAAGATAGTGTATATAAAATTGGTAATCCAATCAAATTTGGTACTGCTAAATTTTTCAATATAAGAATTAATGGTTTATCTGCTGTAAAATTCGCAGGACCAGTTGATATTATTGATCTACCATCAGGAAATATACGATTGATATTTACACTATTATTTGACTATCTTGTAATAAATGGAAAAATGAACATGACCATGTTCGCTACTAAACCTCGGGTAATTCAATGTATTAACTAGTAATGATAATCATATTTTTTGATATCCCAATGAATAAAAGATTTTATTTCTGACGTTTTGTGACTTAATGTAAGTCACTTCTTCAGAGTATTAACTATTGTTTTAAAGTTGGTTATCATAAGTTAGAGTAGTTCAGTTTATGTAGGTAGATGTTATTTACAGAAACTCATTTCGACTTAGCTTTCTCACAGATTAGCACTTGTCAGCAGATCTAGATCATATTTGATATCATGATGTGGTATTTTTGTTTACTTATCGTGACAACCCAGCTAGGATACATTGTCTGAGGCACCTGGTGTTATTTTAGGTCTGTTAATGTCAAACAGGTTCGTTGGAGAATTTTGAGACCGAAATCACCAACTTGAGGTCAGAGGCAGAAGTTGTACTGTTGACGGTATTAGGTTGTAATGGCAATATAAAGTTTCCCTCAGATTACCAATATCCTCAGAAATGCTGTCCTCCCACAATGGTAAGAAGGGATTAGAAAAGGGTCACCGTGAAAAGTGCTAATCTCACATTACTCCATGGATTCACATCACCAGCGGTAAGGCTTAAAGAGTACAGAGCTAATAAATCAAGTTATTCGAAAAAATGAGTATGTGATCATCCTAAAGCAGTTGCCCCTTGGGTTATGTGGTTACTCTTCTAGTTATCTAATGCCACTACTAATCCAGTTTCTTTTTCATGTACCTGGAATATGAATCATGTATTTTAAACATACTGAGTTTATATACCAAACAAACTGACCAAATCGTACTGTAAAATAGAAAATAACATTTGTACAATATTTAGCCAAATGTGACTGTGAATAAGGGGAACAGTAATTAATGGACTGGGGATAACTCAGGAATGGTAAATCGTATAATAATAGTTCATAGATCAAAATAAAGCTTATAATAAGAGGGACATAAATATGAATAGTTCAGTTACTTAACGATTATACTATAGGAAATATATGTATCGTATTGGTCCAAAAATAGTCCTCAGAGTTACCATTCATATATCTTCACAGGATATAACACTGGCATTTCATTTATTCTTTTCTCTTTTTTAGACCGTAGAAATTAAAATTAACTTAATCAAAATATTATTGGATTTACTTCTTATACAACCAGTGGATAATGATACATCATTACCTATTCATGTGAACAAAGTTACTGTTATCCATTGGAATAATTTACGATTTGATAGTAAAGGAGTATTTACAATATTTTTTAAAATGTTTAATCAATTTCGTTTATATGATGGTATCATTAAACGTTCAATTGAAAAAGAAATTTATCAACAAATTGAAAAATCATTAAAATCATTTTTTGAGGAATAAAAAAAATATTATTTTTTAATGATTGAAAATTGAATCATTTTGTTTTGTTACCTGCATAGTCATCGCCGATGTGCTACCTGGTATCCTCCCTCTGCATTTGAAGTCTGAACTCAGATTGATCACATCGCAATCATCTACCTCTAGCGTGATTGTGTACAAGATTGGAGTACCCACTTGGACTCCGATCATATCTTACGTTTTATTACTCAACAAATTCATCGTTCCTTTTGGAACGATTTCAGAAAATTGGTTGCAGCTTCTGTTGCAACTAAATATTAAACCGAGTTAGGTTCAAGACTGGCTACCAGCTCACTGAAAAGTATTGATAAGTATTGGTTGCAATTGCATGGTGCCATGAAAATGGCAAGTAAAGTCGCTTCCACCTTCGCAAAATGTCCCGAGTTATAAGCGTTGGGTTTCTTCAGGTTCCTTACAACTCACTGCAGCCCGTTGGTCTACTCCGAGTGACCGCAAGTTTCACCATAAATGAAGATTTCTACCTCATGAAATTGTGGAAAGCTTGCGTAAGGACTGAGAAGCTTGGTGGTGGGAACGATAACGAGTTGGAAACAGCAGCTGCATCTGGTAACTTCCGGAAGCTCTTTCAACTCATTCAAGTCACTGGCAGCAAGAATTCTGATGTGAGCGAAACAATCTGTGAAGATGACGGGATACCAATCACAAACATCTATCGACGTCCTGGACGATTGGCAGAATTTTCCGAGAAGCAGTCCAACTGATCTGTTGTCCCGGTGACATTGATCAGACTGTCTTGTCTCCTATGTCCCGTGACCACAAATCCACTTAACGAGGAGGAAGTCTGCAAGGAACTGCAACTCCTGAAGCAACACAAATCACCAGGTCCAAATGATTTACCTTCGGCCCTTTTTAAAGTTCGTGGTGAACTTCTGGTTAAGGAATTCAGTGAGTTATTTAAAAAGGTCTGGTAATTAGAGAGTGTTCCAACATCGTGAAAGTAGTTGATATTTGTCCCTATTTTTGAAAAGAGTTCACGCCGTTTCTGCAACAACTATCGGGGAATAAGTCTATTTCTGATTGCGTCCATACTATCGGCTTCCGTCATACTTGTAGATTATTCAAAACCCGAGAGAGATTGGCTCGCAGGGAGCAAGCTGGTCTTCTTACTGATCCGAGAGAATTTCAGTCTTTTAGTCAAGAAATTTTTCTTAGCCATTACATAACAGTATGTTGTAAATTATCAGATAGATATTTGCAAGATAAATTGAATAAAAAAAGAATGAACCAAATCGGCTGAACCGTTCAAAAGTTATGCGGAAAAGTGTGCTCACGAAATTCGCTGTCTCGGGCATTTCTATAGGATTTTGCCGGGTCACATTTTCCTTCATAACTTTTGAATGGATTAATATTTTTCAATAAGGTTTTCTTTCTGTTACTTACCTAATTAAGTGCTATTAAAAGATGTATGACATGTACATTGACATTGAAATTTAAGTTTTACTTTTTACACCTGCTCTTACTCGCCATGTTATATAGGGATACTACCCCTAAATCAGGGTCTGGATAGTCGGGAAAATGAAAATTTCGCAAATGCGATAAAAATGATCTTGGTGGTTTTGTATTACTATTCCGACACCAGACAATGGGTTTTAAGCGTTCTTAGGCCCTAATGCTCCAGGCTGGGCTGTTTCGCTTACTACCCTATATGTGTGTTGTATACAGTATAAGCTATATGGCCATGTAGAGGTGAAGGTCCCACATAAGACTGAAGGTTCGCCATTGATATTGTGGATGGTTTGGCATTGCTTTGGCAAGTTTTTCTGGCTGTTTATGTGAAAAGTTGGTTGACTGGTCAACCGATTTCATTCATACTGGTGGTTGTTTCTCAGTGTTCTCAAGAGCTTTTGTCATTGGAGCTTCGTAAGGCATATCGCCATTGCTAATATTAATGAGTTTGGCTGTCGTGTAAGCGGAATGGGCCAACTTTGGTCTGTTCATGCTGTGCATAATTGATTTACGCGATCACTAATCTGAATACTTATACACGGGATATAAATGTGTATATGAACGGTGCGAATGGTCCACCAGGGTGTTTGGTACCTGAGTGGTTGAGCCACAGGATTGGACTATGTTGTTCGGATTGTAGCGTTGAAGCCTATATAGTGTCTGACTCTCCTATAGGGCGGGATTGAGCTGTACTGCTTGGGTTGCCGCGTGCAAGTCTGAATGGTGTCTGATTCTCATAAAAACCAGTGCAAGATTACCCTGGCCCATAAGGGTATAATATATAACTGTGAACAAGCTGATTGATCCTGCCAGTAGTCATATGCTTGTCTCAGAGATAAAGTCATGCATGTCTAAGTATATACCTTAAAACGTCGAAACCGCGAATGGCTCATTAAATCAACTATGGTTCCTTAGATCGTAAACGCTACATAGATAACTGTAGTAATTCTAGAGCTAATACATGCCTTGAATCATTGACCCGCAAGGGGACGGATGCATTTATTAGAACAGAACCAACCGGGTGCGGCTTCGGCTGTTCCTGTTACATTCTGTGATGACTATGGATAACTTTGCTGATCGCAGTCGGCCTTGTGTCGGCGACGGATCTTTCAATTGTCTGCCCTACCAATTTGTTGGTAGGTGATTTGTCTACCATGATGATAACGGGGAATCAGGGTTCCATTGTTCCATTCAAGCAGGTAATGGTGGTGTAGATCTGTTGCCTGGCGAAAGACTTCTCGACCTTGAGTGTGCGGATGACATTATCTTACTGTACGATGATACCCAAGCCATGCAATCCGCACTTAATCAGTTGGCAATCGGTGTCCGTAGGTATGGTATGTGCTTTACACCCTTGAAGTGCAAAGTACTTCTACAAGACTGATAGGACCCTGAACGGGTGTCCACTGATGACAGCTGACGCCTAGGATGAAACGTGGATCAAGCAGGTTTTTCTCTCTACTATATGCAGTCACATTACGTCGAAACAATAAATGCACCTGTGAGTTACTTAGACTAGTGATCATATTGAAAATTGTTGGATGGAACTCAACCAACCTTAGAAGAGCTAGACAAACATGGTATTGTCCATTACTCAATTATCAACCAGTTTGAAAGTAAGAATATCCTTGAATGAATTAAATCATTTTAAATTCAATCAGGGTTCATCATCTTACTCAAAATCAGCTGATGAACCAATCATTTATTACTCAATAACTAATCAAAAAATTATGTGTTCAGCTTTGAAACGCTCTTAATTTGTATAAAGATTAGTTTACCAAATCAAAATAGCTGATTCGGGAATCGGACCAGGGAGAAAGTAATTAAAAGTTAAATGCTTAACTTGACGTGAATTTTGTTTGGGCCTATTAATTTCATTTCCTTCCGATCCGGTTCTTTTTAATGTATTGTCTTATGTTACTTAATAATATTCAGTAGATAGTCTCATTATTTTCGAAAAATGGCTTATGGAGTTTTTTGTTGATTTGTATGATTATCAAGGGTATAAGTGAAATTCGACATTCAATTCATTTATCGCTGTAATTGTACATTATTAACATTCTTTATACTTGATTTCAATTATTTTGTGTCCGTTGAACAATTACTTATTTATAACAGTTTCCATATTTTGTTTTCTTAGTTCTCAGTTTGATTATTGAATACAATCGTGCTATTGATCAATCTATTGGGTGTTACGTAGGTTATCGAATATTTTTGTATTTAATTTCTATATGAATACAATAGAAAATACATTTTGCATCTCAGTACGATATCCGCATCGCTTATCCTTATACTTCAAAGAATGGGGAACCGCTACAATCCCCACGGATTGAAATAAGAACCCCAAAACTGTTACAAATAAAGATTTATCAGGACCGAAATATGACAACCCTTTTCGAAAATGCACTGATTCATTTACTGATTGTGCATCCATTTTGATTGTTACTTAGGATGAAATAACATATGTAATAAATATCCAGAGTTGTAACGAATCACGTACTACGTGTCATGCTCAGTATAATGTATGTTCATTTTGTCCAGGAATATCGTATTTTGAATAAACATCTCACTCAAATCAATTAATGTTATACGGAATAAAATATTACACAGAAAAATACCCTAAACAACATATTGAATTCAAAACGGAAATGATGTTGAGTGAAAATTACAATGAGTAAAGCAATGTAGTTTTACCCCTTTCATTCCATCACATCACTAATAAGTTAAGGCTTGTGTTAGAAACACAAGTATCCTATTTTAGACAAATCATCTGTTGTTTTCATAATTTGGTTATTTCTGTTCATAGGTCAGTAACACTGAACGAATTTAAGACCATCAAGTCACGAACTGATACACTGATGAACTAAATAGAATCCAAGATTATCAGAAAACCATTTCTTTCTAATTCTGTATTATTGAGTGGTGTGAATACTAACGATCACTTCAAAGATCATACGTGAAGGTATCGATCACAAATAGCAGTTAATAGAAAAATCATCAATTTATTCAGACTATATTTTTCCAGCTTTTAAGTTCTTTTCTTTCCATCAATGGATTACTTTACTTCACAAAGGCTTTACAATTGCTAGATTTTTCATTAATCATAGAATATAAGACAAATACTTTTTTTGATGTACGTTTGTTCTCTGAGCTGGATTGTTTGGCCATGGAGCCTTCATCGTCCTTCTGAACGACGTCATTAGCACAAACTTCGGGTAAAAGTGAAGTGTTTGAATTTTCTCCACATGTGATTCACAGCTTGTCCTATGCACCTCGATGTTGATTGGTTCTTATTGACCTTGAATTTGTCATTGTTTATTTCTTTGTTTTGGTTGTATCTCCTATTGGTTTGATTTTTGTTCCTATGTTTCTGCATAATTTTCTTGATTGGTTGATAAATTGGATTGATTTCAATGTGCTTGTTTATTGCTGATTGACCTGAAAATTCTCTGGTGTTTTTGGAATTGCCTCTGTCCAAGCTGTGAATCACATGTGGAGAAAATTCAAACACTTCACTTTTACCCGAAGTTTGTGCTGATGATGTCGT